ACACCACTGGTCCTCAGGGCTCCTCATGGTTCATCAGGTTAACACTTGGCCTAGAAGCTACACTAGGGGCCTGTCCCAGGTAATAATGCCTGTTCCTACCCTTTCATAGCCTAAGATCCCACGTTGGGGGGAGTGGCCCTCATCTGCTTCCAGGAATGTGCTGGGGTAGCTTAGGGAGAAGCTGTCCAGGCCCTCTCAGGACCCAGAGGGATCTCCTCTCGCTTCAGGCATTCTGGTGAAGAACGCCCTGTGGGGGGGGGGGGGTGGATGGGGCACTGACTTTTGGGACTAGGGGATGCTCAGGATGTCAGTTCTACTTTTCATAATTTCCTACAAAATCTCAACTTCATTAAATGGGAAGAATTAATTAAAAATCTACCATGCACTCTTCAGAGTGAGCATAAACCTCATTCATTTTATAAACAAAAGTGACAGCTATATCCACACGGTGTTTTTCCTATGTCAAGCAGCATTCTTACAAATCACTCCCTGACACAGGTAAGAACTATTATGCCCGTTGTACAGATGAGAAAAACAAGGTATGAAAAAGTTTTATAACACCTCAGTGAAAGAGCTGTGATTCTATCCTCTGTAACCCAAGGGGAAAGTGCCATACTTGGGGCCCGAAGGGCTAGGTGTGAAATAATTAAACATAAATCAATGTATTTCCATAGCTCTATTAAAAGCATGAAAAACTTGACCGTGTTAACTGGGCTAGGGAGTTTTTGAACACAATTGTTAGTTCAGAAAAGACTTACAGACCGTGCAGTGTCAAAAATAATGTTAACGGCCAAAAGGTTGTATTTATAGAGTCCACAGCCATATCAACTTCTTGGGAGAAGTTATTAAAAGAGAAATGATACCTTATTTGATGAAAACTTGCCTTTTAATTTTTATTTTGGTCATTTTAATTTATAAGTCATATAAGGAAGGAATTTATTATAAACATAGTTGAGAGACTAAAAAAAGCACTTTCAGTAAATTTATAAATTTATGATGTATATCTTAATTTATATTAATATAGCTGTCACCACTGGTCTATTGTGCCTTGTGTGGCCCGGAATCTTTCATACTGTAATTCTGATCACCATATTCTGTGGACCCAGGAGGCAGGTGGGACATCCGTCCTACAGGGAAGTACGGAAGTGCAGGCTGTCTGTAAGGACAGAGCACGGGACACTCAGGCGGGAAAGGAGATTCAAGGTCTGACAAGTACTGACTTTTCATGTAGCACCAACTATGCATTTTGCAGAACCTCTTGTTCAAGGATCATTAAAGATTTCAAGTTGGTGATAGCATGAAGCCAGGTGCAGGTACCTATCTTGAGTGACTGCACAGGCTGCCCACTCAGGCAGCTGGCCCTATTTCCATGAGCTACACCTGTGGCATTTAGAGACACATTTCCTTAGGAATTGTACTGGTGAAAGTGAACAGAATGAGAGGAGGGTTAAAAGGCCATTGTGACATTGTGATATGATAAAAAATATGTATTTGGTCTCTGTCCTTAGTTCCTGAAACAGGCTTTCTAAAACCTTGGTAAGAACCTGGTGCGGTGGCTCATGCCTGTATTCCTAGCACTCTGGAAGGCCGAGGTGGATGGATTGCCTGAGCTCACAGGTTCAAGACCAGCCTGAGCCAGTGTGGGACCTGACCTCTAAAATTAGCCAGGCATTGTGGTGGGTGCCTGTAGTCCCAGATACTCCAGAGACTGAGGCAAGAGAATCACTTGAGACCAAGAGTTTGAGGTTGCTGGGAGCTATGACATCATGACACACTACTGAGGGTGACAAAGTGAGACTCTGTCTCAAAACAACAAACTTTGGTAATGTTTTGAATGATGGGGAGAAGGGAGCTAATTACATCTTTTGTTCAAATATTAAGTCTTTGACCCCAGTTCCTGATATAGAGCTCTTAAATCCCTTAGAATTTTCTGAGTTAAATTAGCTAGGCCTGTGGCTCAAAGGAGTAAGGTGCTGGCCCCATATAATGGAGGTGGCGGGTTCAAACCCAGCCCCGGTCAAAAACTGCAAAAATAAATAAATAAATAAATAGCTAGGACAAATTTCACCCAGGAAATCTGGATGAGAGGACCTTCTTTTATCCTAATGAGGTGACTCTTGAGGGGGAGGGGGGCTCCTGGTGAGAGGTTGCTTACTAAAAAGATCAAGCAATGATTAGAAGCTTAGAACTCTCAGCCCCATCCCACCACCCTCCTCTGGGAATTGGAGAGGAGCTGGACGTTGAGTTAAAGATGGATCATGCCTATACGATGAAGCCTCATGAAGCTTGGTGAACCTTGGAAGTCAGAGAGCTCCGGGCAGGGGAACAATCTACTTACTGGGAGGCTGGTGGACCCCAACTCCAGCTTACACTTGGGGCCCTTCCATACCTGGCCCCATGAGTGGCTTCCTCTGCCATTTGACTCTAACTCAGGTAGGTAGATAGTGTCGGAATGAACTGCAAGACACTCACCTAGTGTCTACCGGAGAATTGCCTGGTGCACGGGAGACATCTAGTGTTAGAAGTGTAGGAGAGTAGGAAAAATAGTTTGATTTTTCCTGTCTCTAACAGGAGTGCAAACAAATGTCTGGAAAACAGGAATGGAAGCATCTGATGAATGCAACAAAAAGAAAGAAATTGCAGCCTCAGATAACTTCAAGAGAGAAATGCAGCAGGGTTGGAAATCTCTGTCCCAGGTGTCATCTGGATGTGGGGCTGGCAGGTACAGTGTGAGAAGGTGAGACTAGAAGTAATGCAATTGTGTTCATCGGCACATGCAATCCATCATTTCCCTCCAGGGAAGACAGCTTGGTGATGATGTGCAGGCATAAAACTAGATTTTTACCTCTAAAGAAATTTAACAAACATCCCAGGGACCTGGAAGGAAAATGATACTTGTAAAAACAAGAGAGGAAAGAAACCACTGCAACTATCTGGAAACGCTCACATTTTCTCACTTGAATGGAAAAGACAACCAAGAATCAATCACCAGAGAAAGAATTTCACTAGCATGACTGGGAAAAAACAAGGTAAATATACATAAAATAGGACCCTGGAAGAAACATAATGTAGTGAACAGAAGAAAGGTTTAACCACTATTATCCTCAGAGAAGATTGAGGGGAGTGCATTCAAAAAACAAAAGGCAGGATAGGGCCTTACTCCCATAGGACTGGTGGCTTTATAAGGAGGAGACACCCAGGAGCGTGCTTGCACAGAGGGAAGGCCTTGTGAAGACACAGAAAGAACACAGATGTCTGCAAGCCAAGGAGAGAGTCCTCAGGAAAAATCACATCTGATAGCACCTGGATCTTGGAAGTCACCCAGTCGTGGAATTTTGTTATGGCAGCCCCACCAAACACAGGTCCTAACATCTTCAACCTACATAGTGAAGATTCATTATCAGAAATTGATCAAAGAAAAATTCTCATTTTCTCAAAAAGCACTTTTCAAAAAAAGATAATGATTCAAGAAATGGATGTATCAGTAGAATACCAGCTAATAAATATAGATAAAATCATGAAGTGAGAAAATCATCAGTGGATGCTAAAACTAGTGGGAAACAGTGAGATGAGGAATGGGATATTTACATAATCCTGTAGTTGAATTTTAAAGGGAAAAATAGTAACTGTCCACTGAAGAAAAATTACAGACGCCACCTTAACCAAAGTGATCAAAGCTAACATCACCTGTATTGGGAGGAACCAGTATAATTTGTACCTTGATGTGAGGCACTGGGAAAGATACATTGCTTTAGTGGTATTTCTCCAAAAATTATAACCTGTCTACTTTGTTCTACAAGGTACCTGCCCTGTACATGTAAGGAACTTCCACTTCAACAAATGAAAAGACTAAGGAACCGTTTCAGATTAAAGACTAATGCAAGCATGATCCTTTCACTCGGAATTTTTGAAGAAGAAATTGTTTCATATTTAAGGGTGCAGATCCTTCTTTTACTCCATTGATTCAAGGCCATTATTCCAATACTATACATCTCTTTAAGGCTTTAATTGCTGTTACAATCTGCAATATAAAAATGCCTATGAGCGTACCTAAAAGACTTGTCTATCATCTGTGATCCCAGGAGGAAAATGCCTATCAGTTTTAAATTCCATAGTATGAAACTGTCTCTAAGGACACATTTTTGGGTGTGAGACTCACAGTACATTACTGGGTGACTGGAACTGTGTTAGCAAACAGAGAGGCAGAGGCCAGCAGTTTTGCCCCAATTCAAAATTTGGTTGCCTTTGGAAGATAAAGTGGGGGGTTCCTGGAAGTGGTAACGTCGTGTTTCACAGGTGTAAAAACCAACTTCTGACTTTTAAAAGGGCTGGCTTTTACTTGTAGCTTCTAAACCTGAAGGTGGTTCCGGTTGCTTGAGATCAAAAGGGTCAGGTGGAAAAGCCAGCAGTAGAAACCCGCAAGATTTCAAAAAGCACGGTTTCCAGCCGGGTGCTGGGGATACAGAGCGACTGAATTCTTGTCTGGAAGAGCAACTAACACATGGAGATGCTTCCAGGGCCGTTCAAGGGACAATTATGTACACTGGACTCGGGGTAACAACATCTGGCGAGTGAAGCAGCAATCACAGAACCAGGACTCTGGGAGGTTAATTTACTTTTGGCTTTCGCAGGAACCACCCTCAGCTCCCACCTTGCTAGTCAAACCTCCCTGCTTCCGCCCACAGCACCCAGGGCTACGACCGACCATCTGAGCATGCGCAAAACCAATGCGCCTGCTCCAACTCCAGTCCAATAAGAACTTCAAAATTAAGGGCGATTCCCCACAGTAATTGCCTGAGCTCTATGTGGGGCGGAGTCTCGAAGCCAAATAATGGATACGATTGGTCAGCCCCGGGGTTCGTATTCTTTGGTGGGCGGAGCCTCACCCGGGAGCCACATCTAGTGAACTGTTCTCCTAATTTGGGAAGGGTCGGGAGCGGGCGGGGCGTGGAGCTGGGAGCGGCTCGGCGTGCGCCTGCGCCGAGCGCCCGGACAGGGCGTGTTCCTCGTTGGTGCCAGCTTTGCGCCGGTGAGGTGTGCGACTCTTGCCGCCGACGCCTGTCGCTCCACGCCCACCCCGCTAGGTGCTGCTCTCCGCGGTGAGTGTACCTGACTTTTCACTCGGGTTCGCTTGCCCCGGCGCTGCCGGGCTGGTGCCGGACTCTTCCCACTCCCGACCCCGCCCTGCCCCCTCAGGCACCCGGACCCCGCGTTCTGACTGACGCCCACTGTCGAGCCCCGGGAACTCCGGGGAGCGGCGGCGGCGGAGGGGTCTGTCCTTTCTCTGCCTGCACCTTGCTGCCATCGCCCACGTGTTTACTGTTGTCGTTTGGTACAGACCATGTCCAAGTCCCTGAAAAAGTTGGTGGAGGAGAGTCGCGAGAAGAACCAGCCGGAAGTGGACATGAGTGACCGCGGCATCTCCAACATGCTGGATGTCAACGGCTTGTGTAAGTTCCCGGCGGCTCAAGTCTTTCCCCTTGGAGATGAGCTGGAAGGGTTTCTAAGTTTGCCAAGTAACTGCTGGTCCTGGTGTGAGCATTATAATTCCTCCAACCCCCTGCTTGTAAACGCCGCTTGTCCGGAGCTTCCCTGAGGTACTTTGCAGTCAAAATTTGTTCTGTTCTACCTGGAAAATGAACTGGTAAATCCAGGATAAGAATCACACAGGCAGTAGTTGCTGTGCTGATTCATAAATGCCATACGTTTGGGTGGATTCTCCATTTACTGAACAGCCACTTCATTTTTTTGGACCACTGTTGCCAATTAATTTACTTTTTTAAAGAAGCCAAGATTCTTTAAATTTCCTAAGTTTGGGATGTTGGCTATTAAAGTCCGCTGTTGAACAAACACGGCGTAAGTGAACTAAAGCACTTGTTCTGGCTAATGGGGCTACATTCTGGACCTTCTCAGCGTTCCTCCAGCTTGTCCGTTACTGACAGTGACGCTCTAGTTTCCTCGGTGTGACATACAGGGCCTTTGTGATTCGGACCACACCCTTATCCCTTCCACACATTTGTGTCCCAGCCACACCGAATCTACTGCTCTTTCTGAACCACAGCATACTCGTTTAGATCTTGGTGCCTTCCTCTTCCTCCTTCCCACTCTTCTGTACCTGAAATCCTGTCAACTTCTCTGTTAAGAGTTAGCTTAGGCATTGCAGCCTATGCAGAGCCTTCTCTGTGTGTATCAAGCTGACATAGTCACTCTTTCCTCTGTGAAGTTGCAAATCCCTTGCTTTGTGACTCCTGTTACATAGAATTATATATATATATATATACACACAGGCACACGTGTGCACACTCGCGCGCGTGTGTGTGTGTGTATACATTTTATTTTTATTTTTTGCAGTTTTTGGCCAGGGCTGGGTTTGAACCCGCCACCTCTGGCATATGGGGCCAGCGCCCTACTCCTTTGAGCCACAGACGCCACCCGCTATTTCTTCTTCTTTTTTTAATCTAGAAATCTCTTCCCCACTGACAGACTGGGAAGGCAAAGGCTGTGTAACACCCATGTTTGCCTTCTTTATAATAGTGTCTGGAGCCGAAGAGGTGCTCAGAAATGTTTTATGAATGAAGGAGGTACAAGAATGGTGGATTAGGCCTACAAATTTGTGAGACTCTCCCGCCCCCGGTCCAGGTTGTGACAACAGAAAGAAAGAAAATGTCCAGGGGACCCTAAAAGATGATGGGTAGCTTGTTAGGCGTGTAGAGAGTGGAACCAGGATTACTATGAATCCATGGTTCGTGCCTGGACCAGAGGTTGGGGGTGATGCTATGGATATGTCGTGGCCAAAGGAAAAGGAGTGAACCATTGTACAGTTTGCATTTGGTAACTGTTAAGAAGATACCTGCGTCAGGCTTGGGTTTTGGTGCATGTTGGTCTCTTATGGTAGGAATGGATTCCTGATGTCAGCAAGAGAGTAGCTGTCTCCAGGACTGAATTGGCAGGTACTATTGGTGATTTTTCAACTAAGAATCAAAGACCCTAGATCATGTAATAACTATGTATCAGAGGTATATTTTTCTTGATAGATATTGTCTTTGTCCCTCTCTGCCCTTGCCTAGCTGTGCCAGATTGTGGTCATTACTGGGGACCTTGTTGCTATAGAGCAGTGGTTCTCAACCTTCCTAATGCCACGCCCCCTTAATATATTTCCTGTGGGTCGCGACCCACAGGTTGAGAACCGCTGCATAGAGGAAATACAGAAGGGAATGGGGCCGGGATGCCCAGCACAACGCTACCCTTGCCCTCCGCAGGGCTTTCCGCCCTCTGCACCCTTTTTTTCATGAGGTTGAAAAAGAGGCTGTTTTCAGCAGAGTAGCTTTACACCCTCCAGCTTTTGAACAGGAAACTTTATGTAATATTTATAAGTGGGAAGAGTGGCGTAGCTATTTTGGTTCAGCTCCATTATCTCTTTGAAGCCTTGGCTTTTATTGAAGAAGAAAAGATAACCACATGCTTCCTGAAAAAAAAAAAAATGTTCCCCATACACCATTGAGTGGTGAAATGCGAGATCATTCTTAAATTTTCCCAAAGTAAGTAGCAGCTGAGGAAGAGCAGTAGTACCTCTTGGGAAGTTCAGTGGAGGTGAACTTGGAAATTCCACCTTCTCTGGCTTCTGTAGCGTTGGCCCACGGAGTGGCTACTCTCTGCTAACTCCCTGACCATTGGTCTCCTCGGAGTCTGGAGGCTTCCAGAAGACTCTGCAGAAGCCCGTTCTCCTCTCGGGCTCACTTGCTGAGCATATACTTGTACTTAGGAATTCGACATAGCTGCATTAACTATATGTGAGAATTCCCATGTTCTTTCACTTATAAAATGTTAACTCTAACCATGAAGTTTTATAATATTTTAATATCCACAGTAAACACAGGGAACAATGAACAATTGACTTGCATGTACAGTAAATGGTTATTTCTGTCTCTCAAGCTTTCCTGTCATCATCCTTATTTAATTTCTCAAAAGGTTTAGCAACAAGAATTGCGCTTTGAAGATAATGAGGCTTAGTACTATTTGTAAGCATAAGAGATGCCCATCTTTCTGCTCGGGAGAGTCGTGTCTTGTAGACATAGCACTTTGCTTCTTCACCAACAGTAAATTACCTTTGAGAAATGTTTTGAGGAGTTCAGGTACCCAAAACACCTTTCTAATGGGGAAAACATCTTACGGTGGAGACAGATAATCAGGCTGGCTCTACAGTTTTCTGCCAGCCCAGCCAGATTCTAGAAATGCTTAGATCCAACCCAGAGAGGCAGAGGAGCACAGTGCATATGAGGGGAACTTGGATTTGTGCACAGTGGTTCAGAGTTGCTCCTTAGTACTGTGTGACATTAGAGAAACTACTTAACCTCTCTGAGCCTCAAGTTCCTTATCAAGTGGAAATGTAAGCAGACTGGTTTAGTGTTAAATACCATAATCCTATTTAAATGATAATTATTAATGCAAATATCCAGTTAGAGGCTCATTCGTCTATACTTAGTTTCAACATAGTCTGAACTCTGAATTTAGTTTGGTTAATTAGACTGGGTAAGGCATTTCTGTCATAGGTTAGAATTTTTTGTGTGGCTTGTTAGAACCTGGAGTGTTTGGCACTTTAGCCTGGGATTCTAATTGAATTAGATAGCTATATATATGAAATTAGTCCTCATTTTATTTCTTTTCCGCTTTTTTCTACACGGCACATAATGTGCATACACATTTTCTTCTTCTAAGAGTAATGCTGCTGATTTTATTCTTTTACTTGAAGAGATTGATTTCACTGCAGAAGCTCTTTCCTGAGCAGCAACTGTCCTCAGCTGGATGATGAAGCTGGTGGCGTGGAAGGGGCCAGTAATCAGCTCCCGTAGAGGCAGCGAGGCCCAGCTGCAGGCGGATGGACTTCCTTTCATTTCTTTGATTTGTATCTTTTATGACTTTTTAATCTGTTCAAGTTTATTGCCCTCTGGGTGGTCAATCCTTTATCATTTTTTAAAATCAGGTTAGACTAAAATATTTTTCAAATCTTTAAAAAGAAAAATAAATAATCTGCTCTCAAGGGGGCAGTCTTTCTAAAGGACCGTACAAAGTAATCAACAAACACAATCATGGGTTATCTGGAAGGGCTATTTCCAAAGTTTTGTTAAACCTGGAAGTGGTCCCCCTGTTAGGAGCATATGTTATCAGTCGGGGCTGTTTGGAGGGAAAGATCAAAGACCAGGAAGAATGTGCAGTTTTAGCTGTAATCTTTTTTTTTTTTTTTTTTTTTTTGAAACAAAGTCACAGCTGTCACCCTGGGTAGAGTGAAGTTGCATCACAGCTCACAGCAACTTCAAACTCTTGGGCTTAAGTGATTCTCTTGCCTCAGCCTCCCAAGTAGCTGGGACTATAGGCGCACACCACAACGCCTTGTATTTTTTTGTTGTAATTGTCTTGTTTGGCAGGCCCAGGCTGGATTCGAACCCACCGTCTCTGTTGTTTGCGGCTGGCGCCCTAGCCATTGAGCTATAGGCGCCGAGCCAGTTGTAATCTTCATTAGAACCTTTTGTGTTTTTCACTTCACTGAAGTCATATGTAGACACTCACCTTAGTGTTTTTAAATGTGTCATCTCTTGGCCTGAGAAGGCTTTTGCCTCTTTGCTGTCCCACTCACTCTCTTGCCAGTTAATGCTTGTTGAAAGAAGGCAGGTCTTCCCTGTCCCTGGGACTCCATTCTTGTGTCATCCCTTCTGGGAAGTCTCCCACCCCACAGTGTGCTCAGTTTTAAGCCACTGTCACGTCTGACCTGGCTGAAGTGTCTCTTCTGTGCCCACAGTGCTCTTAGCCCTGAACTTGGCATAGAGCTTGAGGAAGTGTATCCAGGGACAAACATTACTGTTTCTAGTGAAGAAATTCAGGGCAGCTGAGCTAGAAAGTGCGGTGCAGGACAACAGCACATGTACCCTGTCTCTATGCAGGCTTCTCCTAACTTCCAGAGGGGAAAACAGTTTACAGCTATCAGGAACATAATGGATCCAACAAGTGTTAGTTTTCATTTTAGAAGAGGATAACAGCTGGAAATGTTTCATCGAGATGGGAAATGAAAACAAAGAAAAGTTGCAACCCCTGGTGCGTTACTGGATCAGTAATGACGTTTTACCGTTTTGCCATCTTTGGATATTTCTAGTCCGGTTGGCTGCTTCTTGGTGTGTTACTAGCTGTGTGACCTTGGACAAGTTACTTAACTTCTCTGTGCCTCAGGTTCCACATCTGTAAAATGGGAATAATAAGAGAACCTATTTCATAGGGTCATAGGGAGCTACTGTCTGCCAAGTGCCTGGTCTGTCACCTGGCACATACAAGTCTCCATGTGCACGATTAGCACACTCGTGTGGTGCTTAGTAGCGGATGCTACGTTCTAAGAAAGAAATCACCAGGTGATTTTGTTGTTTGAACATCATAGACTATATTTATACAAATCTAGATGTTAGCC